TTCCCAAGAAAGCTGATCCAACTGAATGAGAAAATTATCGAACAATATCGTTAATATCACACACAAGTAAAATTTTTCTGAAGATCATTCAAAAGTGGCTGCAGCAGTATATTGACAGGGAACTGCCAGAAATTCAGGTCGGATTCAGAAGAGGACGTGGAACCAGGGATATCATTGCTGATGTCAGGTGGATCCTGGCTGAAAGCAGAGAATACCAGAAAGAAGTTTACATGTATTTTATTGACATGCAGAGGCATTCAACCATGGGGATCATAACAAATTATGAATAACATTGCGAAGAACGAGAATTCCAGAACACTTAACTGTGTTCATGAGGAACGTGTACACAGAACAAGAGGCAGTTGTTAGGACAGAACAAGGGGATACTGCGTCAGAAAAGGTATGCGTCAGGGTTGTATCCTTTCACCATACCTATTCAATCTGTATGCTGAGCAAGTAATCCGAGAAGCTGGACTACATGAAGAAGAATGGGGCATCAGGATTGGAGGAAGACTCATTAACAACCTGTGTTATGCAGATGACACAACCTTGTTTACTGAAAGTGAAGAGGACTTGAAGCACTTACTGATGAAGATCAAAGACCACAGCCTTCAGTATGGATTACACCTCAACATAAAGAAAACAAAAATCCTCACAACTGGACCAATAAGCAACATCATGATAAACGGAGAAAAGATTGAAGTTGTCAAGGATTTCATATTACTTGGATCCACATTCAACACTCATGAAAGCAGCAGCCAAGAAATCAAAAGACTCATTGCATTGGGCAGATCTGCTGCAAAAGACCTCTTTAAAATGTTGAAAAGCAAAGATGTCACCTTGATGACTAAGGTGCGCCTAACCCAAGCCATGATATTTTCAATCACATCATATGCATGCGAAAGCTGGACAGTGAATAAGGAAGACCGAAGAATTGACGCCTTTGGATTATAGTGTTGGCGAAGAATATTGAATATACCATGGACTGCCAAAAGAGCGAACAAATCTGTCTTGGAAGAAGTACAATCAGAGTGCTCCTTACAAGCAAGGATGGTGAGACTACGTCTTACATACTTTGAACATGTTGTCAGGAGGGATCAGTCCCTGGAGAAGGACATCATGCTTGGTAAAGTAGAAGGTCAACAAAGAAGAGGCCCTCAATGAGATGGACTGACACAGCAGCTGCAACAATGGGCTCAAGCATAACAACGATTGTGAGCATGGTACAGGACCAGGCGGTGTTTCGTTCTGTAGTACATAGGGTTGCTATGAGTCAGAACCGACTCGACGGCACCTAACAACAGCAACAACAAGAAGCCCAGGCTTCTGGTCATCCACACTGTCGTGAGCACAGTCCCATGAAGAAGGCGAGGGGCTAGGGGTGAGAGGGACACAGGGAAACCACGTCGATTCAGAAGTGCTCTTTGCCAAGCTGTTATCATATCCTGCTGATGCTCCATAACCCATCGGTAGCAATGAGCTTCTTCTTGGCCTCAGGCCTGAGACTGAGGGATAGGGACAGCATTGGGGTCACACAGCCTAAGCTGCTGAGACCAGTATGACCCAAGCAGAGCGATTCCACAACTACGGGAGAGGGCGGCCACTGGGATGGTGGTGGTGGCAGTTGTGGATGGTGAGAGAGCCTAATCTCATTACTTTCTCTGTCCCTGACCCTTAGCACAGTGGTCAGTGGCTGGCCTCAATAATATGTTGCATTGAACAATTTTCAGTGCTGACACCAGCTTTCTGGGTGACAAATCTGGCAAATCATTTCACCTCTCTGAGCCTGTTTCCCCACCTATAAAGCAGGGGTGGTGATATTAAAACCTTGAAGCATTGTATCAAAGATGAAATGAGATACAGCGTGTTGATCACTGTGTGGGCACTAGAGCATCACAAAATGGAGGGCTGGAAGATTGGGGCTTCACGTCGTGTTTTCTCAGCTGAGTTCAGCTGTCAGCACAGTAGTGGCCAAAGAGAGCTTTTTTCTTGTGAAGATTCTTCCAGATCTCCTGTTTTCAAACTTTTTGGTATCAGAACTCCTTTATACTCTTAAAAATTATGGAAGACCTCAAAGAGCTTTTGTTTATGTGGATGGTATCTATCAGTGTTTACCCCATTAGAAGCAAAACTGGAGAAATTTTAATAAATATTCATTTAAAAAAATAATAAAATAAGCCTATTGTATATGGGGGCCTGTTGGCACAGTGGTTAACCGTTTGTCTGCTAACCAAAAGGTCAGCAGTTCAAATTCACCAGCCGCTCCTTGGAAACCCTATAAGGCAGTTCTGCTCTGTCCTAAAGGGTCACTATGAGTCGGAATCCACTCAACAGCAATGGGGTTTTTTATTGCATATTAGCATCACATTTTTATAAAAAAAAAAAACTGCTTTCCAAAATAAAATTAGGGAGAAGAGTAGCATTATTTTACGTTTTTGGTAAATCTCTTTAATGTTAGGCTTAATCAGTTGGGTTCTCGTATCTGCTTCTGCATTCAGTCTGTTGTGATATGTTGCTTTGGCTGAGGTATGCAAAGAAAATCTGACCTCACTCAGCTATGTAGTTGGAAAAGGGGGGAATATTTTCAGATTTTTGTGGATATTCTTCTTTGATACTACACGAAAACTCGACAAGTTTCTTAAAGGTTAGTTATGATGGGGAATCTGAAACCATATCAATAAACTTCGTACAATATGAGATTATAATCCATTGGTTTGTCTTGCACTTTGAATGGATCTTTGACGCAGGTGTGATTTGGTAACATCCTGCACTGGCCACTTGGAAGATATTGGTTCATTAAGTTATGCAGGTCTTCCTAGTGTTGACACTTTCCATTATACATTTATCAGAAAATTACATTTGTTAATATTACCACTGATCTTATCAGAAATTAAAGTATTGGAAAACTGTCATGCTCATGGTGATAGATACAAGTTTTCCAAAAGTCTAATTTTTGCTTGAAAGCTTGCATTTTATCACTGGCAATGAATACTGTCAGTTGTTTTCTTTGAAATGACAAAATGACTCACTTTGTTCACTTTTGAGAAGAGGAACTTGAATAACTATGGTTTTCCTGTCATTCATTCTTTCAAATAAAAATAGTGTTTCATGGAGAAAGCGGCTAGTTCAGCTCGCAACTCACTCTCCCACGCGCTTTCCCTTGAAGTAACCACCACACTTTGGTATACAGCCATATCATCACTTAGGATGTTAAGAAGTGTACTCAAGGGCTGAAATTTGATAAAATTAATTTTTACTGCTTCATCAAGGACATTCCTAAGGGAAATTAGCTTTTTTTCTTCTTCCTGAGAGTATGTGGGTGGTGAATAATATAGTGGTTACTACTATGGTTTTCTGCCATGATTCATACTAAGGCACCAGCAGTGTTACCCACCACTGCCTTTGCACCATCAGTGCAAATGTCAACATAGTGAACGAGGCACATATCATAGTACTATTATGAAGATAGTACTGAGCTCATGGCCCCCTGAAAGGGTCTTGGGAACCCCCAGGGGTCTGTGGATCACACTTGGAGGATTGCTGGTCTAGACGATAATGTAGGTATTCTACATTGTAAGAACATCCATTCCTTGCTTTTACTGTCAGATGACACAGCAAAGCTATTTTCATCTTTTAAAAATCTGACCAAGTGATTTTTCTTGAATCAGTTTTGCTCACTGCTGATCTGATTTGCTCCTGCATTTGATGGTTGAGGAAATTGAGGCTCCAGAGGCTTAGTGATTTACCCAGCACCTGGCTGGCGGTTAGTAGCTGAGCCACGTGCTGGAACCCAGGTCTGCAGGAGGGGGCCAGGGTCCTGCAGGCTCCTGTGTCTGTGTGGATGCTCACAGACTCACCTCAAGCAGAGCGCGCCTTCCGTCTCGGTGGTCAGAGGGCTGCACTGTTTGGGACTGTGGGGAGCCCGCTCCTTGCCTAGGCCCAGCACCAGCAGCGTTGCAAATAGTGCAGACAGCCTGCGTTCTTCTCCATCCCACCTCCAGTCCATGCGTGGGGGGCGGTCATTCCAGGGTCTCCCATGGAATGCATCCCATTTAAAGATGATTGTCAATCATCCAAACAGCGGGACTCTGTGCAGCCAGAAGATAAATACGTAAGAGAAAGCTCTTCATATACTGATACACAATGATCTCCAAGGTATATTGTCAAGTGGAAGAAGCAAGTTATAGAAAAGTGTATAAAGCTTGCTACCATTTGGGCAAGGAGAAGAGAAAAATTATGTTTTTGCTGTATGCATATACAGGTTATTTTCTGGGAGAAGAAATTGGTCATAACTGTTGTTTCTAGGAACTGAGGAGCTAGGAGGGAGGGAGGCTTTCAATAGGTATCCTTTTTTTACCTTTTGACGTTTGAAACCCTGGTGACTGCCCTAGCCCTATTCAAAATAAATAAGTATTTTTTTAAAAACCCATAAAGTTATTTCTCCAGCACACTGATTTAGGAGCCCTCACTTAGAGGTACTTTGGCAGGCAGAAAGAACAGTGGTGATTTTATCCCTCTCTTCTTCCTCCTTACTGAGGCAACAATAATATCTGCCATTTAGTGAGCCCATAGTATGTACCAGGGGCCCTGGTGGTGCCAGCGGTTAAGAGTTTGGCTGCTAAACAAAAGGTCGGCAGTTCGAATCTACCTGCCACTCCTTGGTAACCCTCTGGGGCACTTCTGCTCTGTCCTATAGGGTCGCTATGAGTCGGAATCCACTCCATGGCAACAGGTTTTTTTAGTATGTACCAAGAAGTGTGCTAAGTGCTTTACACAAATTATCTTCACAACAACTCTGTGTTGAAGATACTGATACTATTCCTGTTTTACAAATGGGAAGCTGAGGTTGCATAAGCATGAAGTGCCTTGCCCAGGGTCATGCCACAGTGAGGGAGAATCAGGATTTGAGCAGGTCGGCCTGAGCCCCACATGTGTGCCCCTAACTGCCGTGCCAACCCTGCCCTTCAGCGTGGTGTTTTCTTCTCCCGCTCCATCTGCAGATAAGATCCTGGTTCACTGTGCCATGGGCCGCAGCCGCTCCGCGACCCTGGTCCTGGCCTACCTGATGATCCACAGGAACATGACCTTGGTGGACGCCATCCGGCAAGTGGCCAAGAACCGCTGTGTCCTCCCCAACCGGGGCTTTCTGAAGCAGCTCCGAGAGTTGGACAAGCAACTGGTGCAGCAGAGGCGACAGGCCCAGCGCGGGGACGGTGAGAATGACAGCAAGGAGGCATTGTAGGCCCTCCTCCTGGGGCGAGCAGAGACACTTGGGAGCCAGGAGTCAGTCCTGTGACCTTGTCATGGAGAAGGGACAGTGAAACCAAAGCTTGACTATTCCAGACGATCTTGAACTTCCCCGCTGTGTGCTGGTGAACAGAGGGGATTCGAAGCCGCCTCTTGGAGGAGTCAAGTACTTGGCTTCACAAAAAAATGGGGGAGAAGGGCTTCCCAGCAGAACTGGTTAAGATGAGTGCAGGGCTCTACACAAAGGCAAAGAAGCCTGCTGCTTTTTGTTTTGGTAAAATGGAAGCAGAAAGGATTTTGAAGTATATAGGTATTGTGCTGTGATTAAACATTTGGCTTTGTCTGAAAGGACAGTCATATTCTTATAGAAGTAAGTTTGAAATATAAATGATTTTTTTAACCACAGATAAGCGTTTGGGAGAGCTGTGTCACCTGAGTTTGTGCATCTTACAAGTAAGTCCCACCCTGGGCATCTCGTGTTTCCTTAGGAGTCTCCTGCATCCTGTGTTGTCTTTTCTGTGAATCCTCAGGCCTGAGTCACCATCTGTAGATGCTGCTGCACAGAGTGGGGAGCGGGGTCCTGAGCCCCCTGTACAGAGGGCCCTGCTTTAGGCTCCCTTCCTTTCCTCAGGGAGTCAGGGCTGGAGATTGACAGCCAGCACCCTTCAGAATCTCAGCCAGAGCCACTACCCCGAAAAGTTAAATGAAGTATGATAGATTTGGACAATTAAGAGTTTGACTTTACAATTTCAGAAAAAAGAGGGAGGAGACAGTCTTTAGGGAAACAGAACTCTTGTTAAGGTCCTTTCACTTTAATTCTAGTCAAAGCAACACTGGCTTGTTTTCTGTCAAGGCCAAGAGTGTTTCCCAGTGTGTTGGCTGTAGCCTGGGAGAGCTGAGGCCACTGTGGGAGCTCAGCTGGGGAGGTCCTCTCCCTGGAGTTGTGTCGGTCACTATGGCTGTGATGTTCGTTTTTGAGGAGAAAGCAGCAGCCGTCATGGAGTGGATAGTGATGGCTCCTGGAACAAGGAGCCCTAAACCAGGCAGAACCCAAAGAGAGATGCTGATGGAGTGGCCTGAAGTCACAGAGCAGACACTGAAGTGGCCTGGAGAGAGCAAAAAGAGCGAGATCAGGGTCTACTGGGGAAACAGGGGAAGGAGCCCACTTCTCCACTTTGGTTGTGGTTTTTCAGCAGAATGAAAGCGGTAGTTCTTGGTGGAGGGAGGATAGTGTCTAGGGGCCCAGCAGATGTGTAGTCACCAAGTCACTTGTGACCTTTGGGGAGCTGTTCTGCATTCACGCCAGAAGGGAGGACTTGAGCCCTGGGCCTCTGTGGCTGGGCCTGGCTTCTGGGAGAGCCGGAGCCTGCTCTGGGATAGTCACCTTGGCCCGGGAGGAGTCTAGCTCCTCATATTCACATGTACAAGAAGGGATTCTCTGAGACTCCCTCATGGTAAGAATGTTGGTCTTCTAATAAATTAAAAAACCCGAAGCATCATCATAAAAGAGTTGCAAAGCAAAAACTCTAGGATGAAATGGAAATATAAATGTGCAGGTAATTGGTGTTATCTTGGTGCTAAGATTGAAAAAGGGGAAATGTTTCCTTTGAAATTGTGACAGTGCTGCACTGAACACAGATCACATGAGGTGAGGACCGATGCCATAGCTTGTGTGGTTGTGAGGAAGAACAGCACCGTAATGGTATCATGACCAGGGATAGTGGAATTGCTTAATGACTCAGATTTGGGTGTGAGGGGAGCCACACATAGGCTCTTGGGAAAGAGATGCAGACCAAAAAGGGTCATAGCAGCCCCTACCCAGACGTTCCTATCACGGGCTCCTAGATAGCCTCCTCTGAACTCAGTTATCGCCTAGATTTGATCTATTCCTTGTCCAGAGAGAAATCAGTATTTCTATTTTAATAAAGTATTATATTTTGTATATCACAATGAAATATTTACAGTTAAATGAATCCATATGTGGAAAGGCTAGAAGCTCTACAGGTCTACTGCTGGTGTATCCTTCAGCATCCCTACACCTTCCTCCCTGCCTTCACTTCACTGTGGGGCTTTGAGTCCCGCAAAGAGCAGCAGAATCAGAGAACTTTCAAGTCTGGTCTCTTCCAGATGACTCCTGGGAGCCAGACGTAGCAGTAAGGGGGAACAGAAGTTTTCGTAGAAGTGCTCCAAGATCTTCAGAGGTACAGTATTCATTCAGTCAACAAGTGTTTATTGAGAACCTACCATGTGCCAAGAACTGAGTTAGGAGGCCCAAAGTAAAAACAGACAAAAATGTACATTGTGATAAAGTGCAATGAGGGAATAGGCACTGAGGTGGAGAACAATGGGGAAAGGTGGGAGAGAAATTCATTTTAGATGGGCTGGTCAAGGAAGACCTCTCTGAGACAGGTAAGCTGTGATTTGAAGGAGCGAGCCTTTCAAATGAGGAGAGGGCGTTCTAGGCCGAGGAACAGCACAGGTGAAGGCCTGAGGTGGCAAAGAGCTGGGTGTGTTTGAGGAACTGCAGGTCAGTGAGGCTGGAGCTGTGAGGGGAGAGTGGAAGGAGATGAGTGGAGAGACTAGACTTTATTCCAAGTGCAAAGAAAACCCACTGAAGACTTTTAAGCAGGGGAATAGGATGACCAATCACTCCGGAAAAACAAATCACTGGCTGAAGTCTGGAAAATGGATTGTAGGGAGTTTGGAAGGGAGGCAAGACGATGGGTCAGGAGGCTGTTGCAGCTGTTGGAGGAGAGAGTTCCAGGGGATTAGTGTTCAAGACTGTCCTGGAGAATCAACAGGACTTGCTGATGAGACGGAGGGAGAAATAAACACTTCTGGTTTCTCGGTGGTGCTGTAATACTGAGGTAGGACTGATCAGGGCAGAAATGGGGGAGAGGGTGGGAAATCACCAGTTCAGTTTAGGTCATGTCTGTAAGGCATGCAAAGGTGTCCCACGTCATTTGACTGAATCTTTAGCTCTAGCTCAGAGGAATGTTTTTGACTGTTGGAGATGTAATTCTGGGTGTTGTCTGTACAGAGATGGAATTTGAAGTAGTGGGACTGGTTGAGCAAAAAGAGAGGATGTGCCAGGCCTGAGAGCTGTGCAACATCAGCATTTAGAGTGGGCCTGGGTGGAAGAGGAAGATCCAGGAAAGGGGAGCGGGAAGGGATGAAAAAGAAAACCAGGAATGTGAATTATGGAGGCCTGGATACAAAGGTTGAAGGTACTCCTTTCTAATAGGACAGTATTTGTACTTTGAGTGTCTCAGACTAACTGTAGACCAAGGGTGACTTACAACAACAAAGCAACCTGTATATTTGTATTGCATTTAACAGTTTTTAGGGCATCATGTATTCATTAGCTAAGCCTTTAAATCAGAGAGACAAGTTATGGCCTTTTCACAAAGTGTTCTAGGAAAAAGGGCTGCAATTTGGAGGAAACTGGGTTTGTTTCAGCTCACAAATTTCAGCTGGGTGAGTTTAGGCAATTAAATTAGCTTCTTTGAGCCTCAATCTGCTAATCTGTATACTGGAGACAGCAGCCCCATGTCCAGCACACGGTGGTGGTACGGATGATGTGGGAGGATTGGTTGTGAAAGCTCTCTGTGACAGTATTGTCAGCCATTATTCCTCTTACAAGCCTTCTAAAATGTTGGAGGGAGCCAATGCGTTCACACCTGTGTAAACCAAACCTAACCCGTTGCCGTCAAGTCCAACTTATAGCGACCCTATAGGACAGAGTAGAACTGCCCTATAGTTTCCAATGCCGTAATCTTTATGGAAGCAGACTGCCACATCTTTCTCCCACAGAGTGGCCGGTGGATTCAAACTGCTGATCCTTCAGTTAGCAGCCAAGCACTTAACCACTGCACCACAAGGGCTCCTTCACACCTGGGTAGGCAGCTATTGAAAAGTGAAGGCTGGCAATTGACAACCACTTGTTAAGACTCTTGGAAAGTAAAGAATACGTTACTGCTGGCTTTAAAAGATGTGGCCTAATTGAATCTCAACCTCATGGTGACTATATTGCAGTCCTGATGAATCCAAGTTCCTGGTGTCACATTTATTTAGGTCTCAAGTGATTTACCAAGCAAGACTGGGTGTGGAGCAGAGCCAGCTCAGATGAGCACTTTCTCTCCTAAACTAAGCCCTTCTGTTCCCTCAAGGAATGTTGGGGCCACGGGGCAGTGTCCCTGGGCAGCCTGTGGGCACACAAGGAGCCCAGGTAGTGCTCCTAGATTTGGCCTGGCAGGCCTGAGGCAGTGACTGGGACTTGTCCCCAGGTCCCCTAGAGGACTGTGAGGCAGGCAGGGTGTGGGAGCCATGGAGCCCAGACATCACACAACTGGAAGTTGTCATCAACAGCATTGCTAGCGGGAGCATAGAATGGAATCACTGCCCCAAAGAATCCTAACACAAAAGGAAAGGGAGTATGCTCAGCCTCCAGGAGTAGAGGGTAAACCTGCGGGAGGTTCAGATGGTTAGCAGGCCCTGCCCCACCCTACCCCCACCTCCTGGGCTCAGGCAGCCTCTTGCCTGGTGTGTGGACCCAATGGTCTGCCCAGATCCTTGGCCACTCCTGAAATGATGCAGCACTTGATTCATGCAATCAGCAAATGAATCCCACACACCTGGGGGCTAAAGTTCATCACTTCCCACTTAAGATGGATGAAAGGTTTCCCTTCCTACCAGCCCAGTGCCTTAAAGGTTCTCTTGTTCCCTTTTCAATGACAGCCCTTGAGAAGCCTCTTCTTTGAAGCCCTCCCTCAGCCACTGCAGGTATCCCCCCATTGACTTTGCAGCTGTACAAGGACGGAACTAAAAGATAAAATTTTTGTAACTGTGAGAGAAAAATAA